TCCCCTATCGGATTGCGAGTAAAAACTTCAGGGTTTTTGTTTTTTTCCTTTCTCTAAGTCTTACAATTCTCCCCATGGAATGATCTCAGTCTCATGAGTAAACCAAACTATTTTTTTTTTTTTTAAAGAAACCTTTCCCAGAACCAGTAAGTGGATGTTTCCATTACATCCCCCAGACTGGACCAACTGATCAGGAATAGATCAGGACCGGTCTTGGCTTTGCTCCTCTGTCATCCCAACATAAGATGGACTTGACTACATGCAAAATTTCAATAAGGAAGCTTTATTTGTAATTACTGTTGAAAACAGCTTCTGGTGCTTGATAGTGACACTGAACTTTATTTCACTTTTAGTTATCCTTATATCTGTTCAAGTCAAGAAAAATCAACTCGTGGGTCTATTAGAGAAAGAACAACATTACTAGCTTTAAAATCAGCTTTCTGTAAGTCAGGCTTGCTGATATGCTCTCCAGATGGGATTTATTTTCACCCCATCGAGAAATACTTCAAAGCTAACTAAAGCAGCATTGATGGGTTCTTGTAAGCTTTTAAATCATCCTTTATGGAAATCTAGTGATGAGCCAGATTTTCAAGGATTTATTTCAATATCAGGATTTTTTTAACCTCTAGTCATTTTTGTTCACATAAATGAACACCAGTGGTTCAGATTTTTAACATGCCCTTTAGTAGACGAACTGAATTGCTTTGGTCTTGTATGTAAATATAATTAGGCAGTGATATGAGACCATCAGTCTGCATATGAATATATAACTTGCAGTAGTTGGCAAACCTGCACCCGTGCTAAAGCCTCGAAGGTCCAGGGGAGAATTACTGACTTGGAGACAACAGGCTCTTTCATAACCAAAATGACACTGCTGACCAAAACTCAATAAGACCTGGGGTTTGACAGCTTTTCTAGACATTCTGGTAGATTTGTGCTGATCTCTTTATACTCTACTAGAGACCTAGTGGACGAATTTGGGGAGGGAGCGGTTCACCCCGCTGCGCCCTTTTGCAATCTGGGAGCCTTTGGGGAATGTCGGACTGACAGCTCAGGCCTGAGCCATCAGTTGGACATCCTTAGTGCTGCTGTGGAGGCAGGAGAGGCTCCTGCCACCAGGCTTCCGTGAGCCTGGCTTTTGGCTGAGTAGCACTCCCCCTGTGGGAGTGCACTGGAAGCTCCTGCATTGATCTTCTACCCCTGGTGGTCAGTGCACATCATAGCAACCAGTCATTCTGCCATTAGGTCCGTTTGTATATTAGCCTTTTATTATATAGGACTAGAGGTCTGGTGCACGAAATTCGTGCATGGGGCGAGAGAGGGTTTGTGTCCCTTAGCCCAGCCTGCAACTCTCCAATCTAGGACCATTCAAGGGATGTCTGACTGCTGCTTTAGACAGTCGGACATTCCTTTCACAATCCAGGACTGCTGGCTCCCAACTGCTCGCCTGCCTGCCTTCCTGATTGCTCCTAAACACTTCTGCCTGCCAGCCTGATCACCCCCTAACCACTCCCGTGTCAGCCTGATTGATGTCTAACTGCTTCCCTGCCAGCCTGTTTGCCCCCAACTTCCCTCGTCTGCTGGCCTGGTAACCCCTACCTTAAGGTGACCAGACATCCCGCCAAGACCTTACCCTAACTGCCTTCCCCTGCAGGGTTGATCGCCTCTAACTGCCCTTCCTTGCAGGCCTGGTGTCTCTCAGCTGCCCTCCCTTGTAGGTCTGGTGCCTCCCAACTGCCCTCCCATGCTGACCATCTTGTGGTGGCCATCTTGTGTCTACATGGGAGTAGCCATCTTTGACCACATGGGGGCAGCCATCTTTGACCACATGGGGGCAGCCATCTTGTGTGTTGGAATGATGGTCAATCTGCCTATTACTCTTTTATTAGATAGGATAGATGCCTGGTGCACAGGTGGGGGCTGGCTGGTTTGCCCTGAAGGGTATCCCAGATCAGGCTAGAGGTTCCCTTGGGGCAAGGGGTGGCCTGAGTGAGGAGTCTGTGGTGGTTTGCAGGCCAGCCATGCCCTCTGGTGACCCAAGCGGAGGTCCTGGTATCTGGAATTTATTTACCTTCTATAATTGAAACTTTGTAGCTTTGCGTGGAAGCTTAGGCCAGCAAGGGCAGTCGGAAAGCTTGGCTTCCTCTGTTGCTGGGGAAACCCAAACCTCCCTACTGGTAGCCATCTTGGTTGGGTTTATTTGCATACTTGTTCTGATGGGCTGGTGTGTGTGGCTGGTAGGTGTGGCTTGTGTGTGTAGCAGAGTGATGGTTAATTTGCATATTACTCTTTTATTATGTAGGATTTCCTGTTCACATTGTGATCAATAATAAGATAGCTGACTGGAGGTAGGAGAGCTATTTGTGTCCTTGATTCACCACACACTGAATTCTGCTGTACTAGGTACCTATTACCAAAGTGTTAAGTTGAATTGTATGCACGTGATGGTTTGCAGGTCAAAATATAGAAAGTCAAATATCAGTTGTGGCATTTGATTTTAACCAATACCAAATAGCACTTCTTTAAAGGGTTGCTTTGTCATGTTTTTGTAGTATGGACTTTGTAACACCAGACTAAAATCATCCCAACCTTTTGTTGTTGATCTTATTTCCTGCTGGCTATTTGTCTGTTTAACTTTAATATTGTGGGAGTGATTTTTATGCTTCTTCCTTGTGTACCTTGATTACTTTGCTAAGTTATCAAAAAAGACACCATATACCAAAAACACATTAAGCATAACAATATCTAAGCCTAAATATTTCTTCTATAAATCTTTATGAAAGAAGCACTGTATTGCTGAGCTGAGTGAACTCACGAGATCAAGCAAAACTGTGTCACCCAGATGACTGTTGGCATTTTGCTGAATGGTTTACACAATCTCTGAAATAATAACAGCATGTCCCCTGCAGTCAGCATGAGGCTTTTCTTGGTGGATATATTTACAGTGAGTCATATAAATCTTCCATCCCTCACACATATATCTGCACAAGGAATTTACCAAGGACATCCAGGAAATTATAAAAGTATGAGTGAATTCCAAAGTGTCAACTTAAAAATATACATACTCAGTTTTAGGTCATTCCTGGTGGAAAACATCAAAAGATTTTTTTTTCTTTAGTAAAGATGATGGATTCATTCAATATTTTGAATTAAGAAAAAACAGTCACCTAGTTAACTCTCAAACACCCAAAATAATTCAAGGCAATAAGAAATATCACATGTGTTTGTGAACTAGATACTTGAAGTAACTGCAAGGCTTTACCATGTAGCATACCTTGAATGCTTTAGGCTAAACTTAAAACAAAATAAGAAAACCCCAAAACAAAAAGTATTCTTGTAGATGGAAATGTGGCTAACTTTCTATTCCTATAAACTTCCTCCATCAAACTGGGAAATTGATTTAACCCTCTCTTATATCAAGTTCTTCAAATGCATAGATTACTAGTGAAATGGGCATTTGTAAAGAGTTTGTATTATTTGAGTTTGATTGATTTTAGTTGTTCCCAAGTCCTGGTATACTTCATTATCCAAAAGTTATATTCAATATGAGTGATGTCACTTTATTTTCAAAATAATAAAAAAAAAATTTTAAGAAGGCTAATCAATAAATGAATGTAAACACCTTTGAAAATGTCAGATTCTAGACAGACATGTTAAATAATATCCATCATTCTCAAACCCTAAAACCCACTAATCCCCTTGCATTTGTTATTGTGAGAATACATTCTTTCCTCTGATTTGGAGTGAAAGAAAGGATAGAAAGTAGAATAGGAAAACCTCTCCTAAACCTGGAAGGGAATGATGGTCAGTAGATGAGTAACTATGAACTGGAGTCACTATCCTTCAACTGTATTTCTTCCTGGAAGTTGCCTGGCTTTTTCAGTGAGGGCTGTAGCCTGTGAAAAGATGTCATGTCCAAGGAGAGGGCTGACTGTCATTGAATCTCAAGGGTAGAACATGCCTGCTGCCTAAGAATGACTGTAGGAAAGATATAATTGCCCCGACTGCCTTGGAGCCATCCAAACCAGACCAGAGGGTGAGCCTGCCTTGGCACTCTGTCATTTAAAAGAAAAGTAATTAAATATATATATTTATTTCAGAGGGGAAGGGAGATGGAGAGATAGACACATCAGTGATAAGAGAGAATCATTGATAGGCTGCCTCCTGCATGCCCCACACTGTGGATCAAGCCCACCACCCAGGGATATGCCCTGATTGGGAATCAAACTGTGACCTCCTAGTTCATAGGTCAAAGCTCAACCACTGAGCCACACCAGCCAGGCAACTCTGCCATTTTTCGTATGCGTGTCTCAAATCCATCATCTTTCCCAGGGGCAGGACTAAGGCATGAAATGTGAGGAGGCACTAGAAAATTGGGTACTCAAGATAAACAATATTTAAAAAAATAGAAATGAATACAAAAAGTCCACAATGAACAAAATATCAAAAGCTATAAATAAAGACGTGATCCACATTACTACTTACCTCATCTCCAATGTGGCTGGCAAGACATTGCTGCTGATTCTGCTGTTACTTCAAATTTTACTGAGTTTTTGGGCACCTCCTTAACATGTGCACCCCAGGGAAGTCTCCACCCCTGACATCCTTTTCTCACTTTGGCCTTTGTTTTCTGACCAGCTCACATTCTCACTGGCCCCTGAACTGCACCGCCTCCTGACCATGGCTGTGCTCTTTTCTTTCTCTACTCTAATCTTTCTTTCTCACTCTAACCTAGAAAGGGGTTTTTCTTGAATGCTAGGGACAAGAAACCAGAAATGATATATCCTGAGTTTCAAACAAATCAGATTAAGTAGATTCAAATGAGAATTAGGAAGATGGTTGACCTTATTGGAGGGAAAGTAATTAATAAAATAATGTAGTGGTGTTTCAAAATGATCTATTTCTCAAAAGGACCAGAAAATGCAATTTCTATCCTTTTGAAACTTTTTTTTTTAATGATATATTAAATTTTTCAACTTTAGGGAGTTCAGAGATCTTACCTTCAATGGTACACTGGTCAGGGACTGGAATCTTCTTTCCGATTTCCATGGCGTATGCTTTCACTTTACTGAGGTTCTTCTTTAAGTGCAAGTAGAGCTTATCTTGGTATTCTACAGGGCTTACAGTTGTCTCTGGAGTGTCTTCCTGATAGTTTTTTTTTACGGTTTCTGGCAGATTCTCTGACTCTATATGTATAATGCTTGGGTGTGAAATTGAAGAATTTCCCAGCTGTGATCCATCAGTGTCGGCCTTAAAGGACGACTTATTTCCGTGGCCAAGTGAGGCTAATTCTGAAAGGGAGATGCTGGCTGGTATATCTCCTCTCTCAACAACTTCCCCGTCATCTGAACTCATGCCCTTTGTGAGCACTGTGTGCAGAGCCAGACTCTTTGACCTGTAATACAAACAAAGGGAAGGCAGAGACAGTAAAGAGTGACCATCCACTGATAAGGAAAAGAAAGAATAACAATGCTGGGACAAAAGCTATTTCCTAGAGTGTGAAACTGAAAACCAGTGCTTTTAACAGACTTGATAAAACATAGACTGCCAAGTTATGTAATAAGCCAATCCTTCGAAGATGTAGATCACCTGCCCAAAGATTTAAAAATCAATCTTGTGGCAAAACTAGCTAGAACATGATGGACTTACATATTTATATATTTTTTTCCACATCTGCTTCAGTTTTTTCATCAGAAATTAAGAGAAGCTTTTGAAAGTCATTATCTGTATCTATAGAATTTTTAAAATGTGTTTTTAAAAATGAGCCATTTGTACTCTCATGTTTTTTTTCTTCAAGAGTGAGCTTCTTTGGATAATTAAAGCATTGTGAAGGAAGTTTCATTCATGAGAGGATGGAATTTTGGGTGACTATAAGTAAAAGATACTTTAAAAACACCCCATAACAGTACGATAATAAAATGAATAGCCAATGTGAATTACATATTTGAAAACAAAAAAAAAAAGCCAAGCAAAATTTATACCTGTTAAATCTAATGTCTTTTCGTTCTTCCTTGGAAACTTGGCCCAAACTATATCTTCTGATAGATCCAGGGGTATTGATCTCAGAATTTATTTTGTCTTCAAAAGCCTGTATTTTAACATGGAGCTTTTCCTGGTCTTCATTTTCAGCTGTGGTGAGCTTGGTTCCTTCTAGCTTCTCAGGGAATTCAATTTCAGTGCTGATTTTTCTCCTAAAGGAATAAAGATTATTGCATTAGATACTAGTCATATATCCCCTTCAGAACAGCATTGCTCTCTAACTGCTTTTAATTTAGAACTGAAAACTTTACCTGATGCATTTTTTCTTAAAATATATTTTTATTGATTTCAGAGAGGAAGGGAGAAGGAGAGAGAGAAATAAAAACAACAATGATGAAAGAGAATCATTGATTGGTTGCCTCCTGCATGCCCCACACTAGGAATTGAGCCCATAACCCTGGGCATGTGCCCTGACTAAAAATCAAACTGTAATGTCCTGGTTCATAGGTCAAGGCTCAAACACTGAGCCACACCAGTCAGGCTGGTAAATTTTTATTAGTCATTTAACAAATGTTTTATTGAGTAACATCTATAAACATAGGTCTTTGAAATTGTTTCTATAGCTTATTCTGCCAGAAGTTTAGAAACATTGATGTTTACGTCAACTTTGTATTAGAAATACTTTGAAGGACTCAGAGAATACAAAGCAGTTTGTATGGTCATCTGCCATATTCTTTCCTAGCTCTCCAAAAGCATGGCTTTTATATGAAATTCATGCCAGGTAGTTCTAGAAAATTTACATATGCTGTTCTGTTTGTACTGAAATGATAGAATGAGAACATTTCAAATGGAGGGGGGAAATCGTTATTTTGCTAATTTTATGGAAATCAGTATGATTCTCTCATCTTACAAAGCAGGAAACACCTTTTTGAATTTTAATATGTTGAATAAAAAGGGTTTTCCATGAATGATATTAGTAGTTCCAAATATCTTTTACATAACACCCCATGAGTCATTCCAATGACCTCCTTTAGGGCAGGGGCTATTTGTGGAATAATTTTGGAACCCCTCTAAGGACAAACTGAGTGCCCTAAGTAGTGTATGAGCTATAGCTGCAGAAATAGCTTGCTGATGCTCACGAAGGTGCTGAATGGTTACAGAGGTGAATTTGCATTTATCTTCCCTAACATGCCTTCTACTATGAGCCCACCTAGAGTTATTTTAATTTAACAATCACTATCAATCATATCATGTGGGATGCGTATTAATTCCTTTCTTACAAACACAAGGTTTAATAATCCCTAGAAGTCTATTCAAGACAGCTCAATGACTCTGTTGCTTTTTCTTGTGTGTATTTACTTGGTTCTCTTAGCATTTTTTCCTAGAGATTGAGGAAAGGGCTTCAAATTTTATAGAAACATCCTGGTTTTTGCAAACATATGACTGTTTTCCCCTAAGGGCCAAAGTAAACCTGGCAGAGTACTTAGCTGAGGGTGAGAAAAATATAAATTTTTAAATGGCCTTGCTTTTTAAAAGAAAAACCAAGATAAGCTGGAGACAGTTTCTTTTTCAGTTATGTTCCACCCATTCCTGGGCCATGTCTCTGGTGAGCCCTGGGAAGGTTGGTTGACAGGGTTGTGGCCTGATGAGAGGGATCCTGCCTTGAGGGAAGATTCATAGTTTGGGGTCCTCAATGGTCAGAACCCCCTTGTTAGTCCAGCCAATGACAGATGTTAATGGTGCAAGCTGGGAAGGACAGCAGATCATCCCTTAGGTAACCAGGACATTGTTTCTTGCCTAGTAAGCTATTGCTGAGAAAACCTGAATTATACATTTTTAATATAATTTTATAGGCTTCCTCTGTGTTTTTTTTTTTCATACATAATGAAAAATTTATTATCCAGAGTCATGTATGATTGAAACATACACGAGTTGAATGGGAATAAAGGCTAATCATGAACATGTTTCCCTTTCTGACACATGTATGATACTGGTTGCCCACAATTAGATGGGGGACTCTGACATTGCTTATCCAGAAGTGGTTTCATTTCCTGTTACAAATGAAGTCAAGACAGTGTAATTCATTGGATGCTATTTTACAAACCATGATGATTACCAATGTTAATATTCAAAGATCCAATAAACCCTCTTCAGATGAGAAATTTGGGGAGTTTTTTATTTTCTGTCAATTTCTCTGGTTCCAATAAATTCATTTCAGAGATTTCTATAGCTGGGATTATAAAAACTTAAAAAATGTGTAAAGCACAAAGTACACACACACACACACACACACACACACACACACACACATCTCAGATATTGAGCATTAAATATACTTTTAATTCTCAAAATATGTGAGTTTTTAAATAATTTCTCATAAATTTACTTGCTTTTTCTTTGTACATAATAGCTTTTATGGGGGGTTGTTTTTGTTGAGTTTGGCTAATGGAAAGCACCAGCAGGATATTAGATGGAAGAAGATAGGTCGGAACTATTAGTCTCCTGGCTTCCTCCCTACCAAGGCACAGGTTCCCCTACTGAGGCCAGAGCTCCTATCGCAAAGCTTGTAGGAGAATGTAACATTCCTCTCTCTCTCTCTCTCTCTCTCTCTCTCTCTCTCTCTCTCTCTCTCTCTCTCTCTCTCTCTTTATCAGCAGCCTCCCCCATGCACCCTGACCAGGGATCAAACCCGCAACCCGGTCATGAGCCCTGAATGGGAATCAAACCAGCAACCTTTCAGTGCACATGATGACGCTCATTCAACTGAGCTACCACTAGCCTGGATTCCTCTTGGTTTTTAAATTTAAAGAGATTGAAGAGAATTTGTTAAAAAAAAAAAAAAGACCCTTTTCATGAATAAAGTCTGCACTCCTTCTAAAATGAGGAAACACATCCCAAATCTAAAAGAATCTAGAGCTATGGGACCTCTAGATAATGAGGCTGATGAGTAGAATTCTCACCACGAAGATTTTCTGTTATACACAATCTTTATTGTCTTCTGTTTGGGGGTGAGGGCCAGTGGGCTGGGTTGTTATTTCTTTTCCATTTATCACTTTTAACACCAGAGGTAATTTTATGGAAATCTTTGTCAGAGTTCTATAATCCCCTAAATATTAACTTGGCTTTAACTCAACACGCCACATTTATGCGAGGCTCAGATGATTTCCAGTCTGAATGATTTCTGGTCTCTGTTGCCAAAATAAAGTTTTGTGTTTTTTTTTGTTTTTTTTTTAAATATACTTCTAGGGATGCCCAGGGGAGGCCTAATTACCTCCCTCTGTGGGAGCGGGACTCCCCTTGGAAGCAAATTGGCCCCTAGGCAGCTTTCTGCTCTCACTACGCTGGGAGATGAGACTACAAAGCTGGCAGGTGTGGAGAGATTGGCAGCCTGTCTTCCTGGATCCTTAAATCAAAGAAAAATCATATTATTTAATGTTTGAAGAGCTTGGCTTACGGTCCCTTGACCAGGATGTGTACTCTTTCAGAGTTAAGCTTGTTTGAGGAGAAGGAGGAGAACAAAATGGATAAAATCCACACGAGAGCCCTAAATTCTTGGGATGCTATGCTCCTGACTCTTCAGCAATTTCTTGGGTCATTGGTCATCATAAGAATGACAGAGGCAACCCCCCCATCTGTTTGGGGACTGCATTGAGTAATGCTGCTGGTCCACTATACCACAGTCAAATACTAAGGGAAAGAACGATGAGTTAGTCTAGTTCTTGGTACTCTGTTCTGCCTTGGACCTGCTCATGGGTAAGATCAGAAATCAGCAGGAGCCCAATGATATGGGGGCCAGAGTGTGGTCATGCCACTGGGAGAACTTTGCTCAAATGAGATGACTAGGGTCTATTCCATTCACACAAGATTTAAAATATATATATAAATATAATTGATTTCAGAGAGGAAGGGAGAGGAAAAAAGAGATAGAAACATCAATGATGAGAGAGAATCATTGATTGGCTGCTTCCTGCACTCCCCACCCTGGAGACTGAGTCCACACCTGGGCATATGTCCCAATCCGGAATTGAACCATGACCTCTTGGTTCATAGGTTGATGTTCAACCAACCACTGAGCAACACTGGTTGGGCCGAACAATATTTTAAAAAGAGATTTCAAAAGGAGGAGATTGGGAGGAAGTGAACTAAATCTGGCATGACAGGGAAAGGACCCGGGTTCATGACTCCAGAATCCTGTTTATCGGCAATGTGGCGAGTGTTTTTATGACTTCACGTGTCATTATTGTCATTTAAAATGGGACTAATGACACTGCATCACCAGATTGCTGAGAGTGTGATGTAAGATTTGACTATGTAGCCCATACAGATGGGCATGAAAACATCAAATGGTAAACGCCGGGTGGCTGCTGCCTGGTGTGGGTGTGGATGGCTGACTCTAAAAGACCGTAGCTTGTACTTGAGAAACAAAGCCAGGGAGGACTGTGTGGTCCCTCCTACCACTGCAGCATCCCACAGAGCATGGACTAAAGGAGAGGGTCCTCCCTGCTGGGTGAACATACAAGAATTGGGATGTGGAAATAGTTGATTTAAAAATTTCTGTATTTCGCCGGCACAGGTTTGGCTCAGTGGATAGAGCATCCGCCTGTGGACTGAAAGGTCCCGGGTTGGATTCCGATCAAGGGCATGTACCTTGGTTGCGGGCATATTCCCAGTAGGGGGTGTGCAAGAGGCAGCTGATAGATGATTCTCTCTCATCGACGTTTCTAACTCTCTATCCCTCTCTCTTTCTCTCTGTGAAAAATCAATAAAATATATTTTTTTAAAATAAAATAAAAATTTCTGTATTTCATGTATGAATCCTGAGCAATTACAATGACCACTCAAATGCAGCTGCTCAGTTATTTGCTCACTTTTCATTCAACCAACATGACAGAGAATAGGACATGGAAAAAGCATGAGCAAAAAGCCCAGCCCGAGTGGCTCAGTGGTTGAGCATCAACCCATGAACGAAGAGGTCAATAGCTTTGATTCCTGGTCAGGGCACATGCCAAGATTGTGGCTCAATCCCTAATAGGGGGTGTGCTAGAGGTAGCTGATCAATGATGTGTTGTTGTTTTTTTCTCATTGATGTTTCTATCTCTCTAACCCTCACCCTTCCTCTCTCTAAAAATCAATAAAAACATATTTTTTTTTTTTAAAAATGAGCAAAAAGTGCAAAGCCCTTGCCCTCGCTACTTAGGTGGAGGCACTGGAC